ATGATTAAAATGTAGTCTAGAGCAGTCCAATGGCATCATGTTGTAGAGGATGAACTAGGAAGAAGCTATTCTTTGCATTAAATTTCAGAACCTGGCCTCATTGCAAAAAAAGAAAGTTCCAGAAGTGGAAAAGTGCTTGAAGACACACCATAACAAACTAGGAGGTAGAAGAAACCTTTCACATTATGAGTTCGCGTTGTCTGAGCTCCTATTTTATTTTCGTTGCGTTCCCAACTTTTATTTTTTGTGCTTTTCAAGCCTCTTAACAGTACCAGTTTGACTGACGCACACTCGATCATCCCTCTGCTCTTGATTTCCATGGAATACTTTCTATAGGGTCGTCCTATGAAGAAGACGACTGTCGAAACTCCAGGCCAAAATTCCACGCAAAAACATCGAGAGGCACAGCAGTACCAACGAATCGAATTTTGCAAGCCAAACGAGACCTTTCATAACCATTACAGGATCATTGCTGAAAGGGTTGCCTGACAAAATAATTATGAAATCCGGGAGAGGTCCCATAGCTCCACAGATTCAGCGTTTGCCTCGAGAAGAGTAGGTACTGGCGAAGCTTTGAACAATTCACTGAAAAGAATGGCCTTCACTGTTTTGAGCTGATCTCGATGGAGTGTCCTACTGCGAATATCTCGGCAGTGACTCTGCCACGAAATGCTCCAGCCATCCTCAGAAGGTGAACAAAAGCGATTCTCGTAAACTACCCAGAACTCCTTGATCTCCTTTGATAATCCCTGCTACGTCACCCAAACGAGCTTGAGATGAGAACTTTGATTGGCCTAACATTTCGACCTTTCCATCTTCTTCAGAGGCTGCAAAAAGCAAACGCCCTCCCCACTCTAGCGTTTCCGACTCTAGAGCCTCGCTTCAGTCTCATCTCGTCTCATAATCAACCATCAAAGAGAACCTCTCAGAACAAATACGACCCCCCCCCCCTGCTGGGACTCTTCATCTTAGGACGTGTCTGCCTCTGCAACGTGAAGCGTTTATTCCAAACGGTTCAATGCGTAATACACACTCCAAATCCTTGAGATGCGGTGGGCGTGGCTGCGTAGTTCAACTGAAAGTGGCGGCGACAGGGCTCTTGGTGGGATATTTTCATTTTGAGACTTGTGGTTATGTCTTAGTCCAACACAACAAGATAACGATTGTTTCGAGTTGAAATCCTTTATCTTACATTCTATAAACCACTAACTCTGTGTGTCGGTTTGTCGGTATGTATGTATGTATGTATGTATGTCTGTCCGTCCGCAAAATGCTTCACGGGTTCGAGTTCGCTGGAGGCGAAAACGACCGCTAGGCAAACAGGCAAATCGGTGCGGAAGTATCAATCCAATGTTTTGATCGTGATATCGGCCTCCGCTATATAAGACAACCATTCGGTACACTCCGAGCCATTGCACGAGCTGCTGGCGTGGCAGCTGGACGTGTGCTCGTGCGGGGGCAGGGTGGGGTGGGGCCGAGAGGGGGGGCACTGGGCGCCCCCTCTGCTTCCTTCCCCTGCACGTGCTCAGCCCGACCTGAGCATGTGCAAGTGAAGGAAGCAGAGGGGAGGGGGTACGGTGTGGGGCCCCTCCCCTCTACTTTCTAGGGGGGGGGGGGTAGTGCACGCTTGGGTAGAATAATAGCAGGAGAGTAGGATACAACCGCTAACAAAACTGTGAGCTAATTCATAATAGAGTAGCAAACTAATTAAGATGTTGTTTTGACTTGATAATCCCCACCCTATCTAAGACAGTTATTTCGTACATTCCGGGCCATCGCACAAGCTGCTCGCGTGGCAGCTGGATGTGGGCTCGCCCGTGGGTTGATCCATCTATTACGATTCGACCATAACGCATTATGAGCAGCTAAGTGGATGAAAAAAATTTTGTTGCCATCATGAAGTGCGCCCACCAAGCCATCTAAAGAGAAGGAGGAGAGCTCGGCGTTAGCCGGGCGATCCGACTGGTAATGCACATAAAGCCCATCCTGTGCCGTGTCCAGATGCCACGCCCACTCCGTCACAGGGATGAGGAGTGTACAGCACAAGCATGGAATACGAAACTGAACATCATTCCTGGGACGGCTTCGGGAATGCTAGAAATAAGTGAAAAAAGATCTTCTTGGAACTGCATCTTTTACAACTTCATTGTATTGCCTACCACTTGGGAACTTCTTGTGAACCTCCCTGTTTGGCAGCTCTGGGCACTAACCTCCCTTAACGGGACCACTCCTTGGAACACAGACTACGCCCTTATTTGCCGAAATTTTTCTTCGTAGGTATATCTTGTGGATAATTGGTTCCCGTTTGTAGTTTGGCCAAGTAAAAATACCAAATCTAATCGGCATGATACCACCTGGTGCTCATGCTATACGTGTGGTAGTCGAAACAAGCGGTCGCTGACCATTTTTGTGGCCAGAAGGTGTGGTAATCGTGTGCAGAAAGTCCAACTACCCCTGTAGACAAGTCCACAGATAAATCGAAGGTAAGGATCAAATTTTGAAAAGTGTGGGGTGAAAGGCAGAATTAGGAACAGTACATATGCAATGGCCGGTCTTTTAGACTGAGACTTACAGAGCTCTATTTCTCCAAAACGATAGTTTACATTTATTGCAGATGAAGGCAAGTTGACATCGAGTGCAGCTCTCGACGATCCGAATGCTAAAACCGACCCACCACTACCACCGGCACCTCCACCACCAGTAAATCCTGGTGGTGGAGGAAGCACGAAGAAAAGTGGTTCAGATGGTAAGTATGGGCATGCGGGTAATTAAAACAAGACCCCGCGCTCAGCCAGTCCCTACAGAAACTGCAGCACATTCACGACTTCAAGTGAGGACGATGCTACACGCCATAGGTTCATGCTTTGGCATCGGCTCAATTGATCCGTCCACCCAACGAGCGTCCTCTTTACACTTAAAGACAGCTTCCGCGATAAAAGTGTCATGGATAGTTGCTGTTCAACTATGAAACAGTTGCTGATAAGTAATTCTCCAAGAAGAAAAAAGCAAAAAGAGCCCTCAAGAACACCATGAACAAAATCTCTCCTCGACAAGTGGCATGTGACATCGCCCTGCGGTCTGTGCAACCCTGGCTCACAAATCGCTTTGTCCCATATCCCAGTAGTGTATATCACCCAATGCAAAGAAAATAATAAGAAAAACAACAAAAACACTGACGAAAATGACTTAAGAAAATTTCAGAGACTCGGCGTCCGAATTTGGGGTTACGGTGGCGTGCATCTTTTAGTGCATGTCGAGCTTCTGCACCACGAAAATTGCATAGCTATAATTTTTACACGTTATAACTTGCGAGATGGGTTGCAGTTGGCTGCATGTGCTCCTAATGAATGAAATGTAATAAAGGAAAGCAGAATTATTTATGGGCATGAGCGTGGTCAGCAAAAAGGGCATGCAATGCCCGCCGCAGCAAAGAACAACTGAGCGGCCCTCCGTCAGAGGGCATCTAGCAAGTGGGCGGTCCGTGGCGTTGGAACTAGAACTTTCAGCGGCTGTAGCTCGCTCCTCGCTCACTGTGGAGTCGCGAGAGTGGGATAGTCTATAGCTTGGGGGCAGGACTATTTGCACAGGGAGGACGACCATGTACTAATTGCTGTCTTTAACGCAAGGCTATTCTTCATTGGTGGAGTGGCGGCATAAATCGCTCGAGCTCATGGATAGTTCTGCATTTCTCTATTACTTTTTTGTCCATTGGGATCACAGACAAAAGAATCCGTCGCGCCAGGCAAGACGCGTTTACTTCACCAATGATGTCATTGCATTGATGCAATCGTTCGTCCGACAGCGCTCCCGAAATCCCAGTTTTTCACATGACATGGTTCAAGGGCTGTTTCACGAGTTTCGTTACTACAAGCATTAATTGTTCTTTCCACTGCAGAATAATGGTTAGCACTAGTTGACGGGAAGAAACGATTAATGAGCCAAATTTAGCAGGATATCTCTTTGCTGGCAAAGATCATGTCCAGGGAGCTTGTACAGTGAAGGGGCCAGGGGCCATTAAGGGTATTGTCGATTCCTGGAGAGCCACTTATCGTGAGCGACTATAGAATCGTTGTTAGACGCCACTGCCAAGATTAAGAGGTGTCGGGGTTTGTCTCTAAGCTGTATCAACAATGGAATAACGACGACGTGTTTTTAGGGAATCACGAAAACCAAGGCTGCGTTCATGCTGACCACTAACAGTCTAGGTGTTCGGCGGCGTCAGCGACACTAAGAAAGTATAGATATCGATCTAGCGTTTGCCAGCGTCCATCACCGCCTCCGGCGCGATAAGAGGGCAGCAGACAGCTGGTAGAATACGGGGAGATAGGAGTGTAGCAGACTGCAAGTAGAGAGTATGATAGGAGGGTAGTAGAGAATGGTAGAGTACGGGGAGATAGGAGGGGGCAGATAGCTGCTTCCCTCCTGTCGCACTATACTCTACAAGCAGTCCGCTGCTGGTCGCTGGTGGGCGCTGTTAGACGCTGGAAGACGCCGGCAGGGCTAGATCGATACCTATACTTCCCTAGACCTCGAAACGCTGGTAGACGCCGGCGGACGCTGGCAGACCCTAGATCGATATCTATACCTTCCTAGTCGCTGACGCTGCCCTACGCTCAAAACGCTGGTGGACGCTTTTGATCGCTGGTGGACGCTGCGCGCAGTGGATCATATCGGTCATGACATTACTCGCCTGTGATTGGACGAGCTAAAAATCAAAAGACGATCGCAATTGTCCCAAATCAAACCCTTGCTAGGGGGTTTGATTTGGGACGGTTGCGATCGTCTTTCGGTTTTTCTCCACCGTTGCCATTTTGGCATATTGAATGATTTGAGCACCACTACCTACAATATCTGATCGTAAGCTTTGCCTTCAATTCATGAAAAAGTCATCGCAGAAGCATAAAAGTTGACAAGTAGGTGGAACTGATAGCAATGTTCTTCAGATTCCAATGCTGATAAGAACAAAGCAAGTACCTCCAAAGATGGCAGCAAAGGGATAAATGACGGCAAAGGAGGCAGTACCGATGGCAGTAATAGTGGGCAGACCACTGATGATGGTAGCAAGAATGGGGGAAGTACGGATGGTGCCAACAACGGAGGAACCACCGATGCTAGCCAAAGCGGCACCACTGATGGTAGCAACAATGGACAAGACGGTAATGGCGGCAAAAACGGGAAAGGCAGTAATGGTGACAAAGATGGTAATGGTGGCAACAACGGCGATGGCACCAATGGCGACAACAATGGAAATGGACCACAAGTCGCTCCAGGCGCTAACAGTTGAGATGTTTCTATGTGGAGATGTTATGACGCCTTCAATTTACACTTCAATTAGATTTTATTCAGGTCACGGAGGGCATCCCGATAAAGCTGGTTCCATTGGCGGAACTGACTCTAGTTCGTCGAGCAGTATGTCAGTAATCATCCAACTTTCCATCACATCTCGGTTTATTTATTCCTTCACTAAGCTTCAGAAGCATAGCACCTATAGGAAAGGATAGGGTAGGGAGCGTGGGTTCTAGGATTACATTATTGAAGAAATTCTGTACACTGCCTCCGAAGACGGTCCTTACGCGAGGTGGCTGGACTCCGCTGATGATGTGCCTCTCTTCACACAAAAGTGCATCTGCACAGAGGTGCAGGGCACCTACACTCGGGTGCAATCACCCCACTCTGCCGGAGCTGTTCTCACAGTTTAGCGCTTGCAATATCCCATAGTGAACGCTCAGTCAGAGCTGGAGAAGAACTAGAAGTGAGGGGGCGCAGACAGATACGATACAAGACAAAATAACGACGGAAGCTGCGAGTTTTGGTGCTGATGGTGTTTTGTCCTATGGAACAAGAAATAGCGAGCAGTGCGGGATTGAAATTGCTAATAGATCACCTTTAAGCTGCGTTTATACTTTGCTGCAGCGTTCACCAGCGACCAATATCGTCCATCTGCGTTCCGTCTACCAGCGTCTGCCAGCGTGAACCATCGACCAATAGTGTCTCGAGGGCTAGAAAGAATATGGATTTTCAAATAGCGTCTGCCAGCGTCTGCCAGCGTCTACTAGCGTCTCCCAGCGTCTACCAGTGTCCACCAGCTGTGGTGCTATAAGGAGGGCACCAGCAGTCTGCTACCCTCCTATCGCGCCATATTCTCAGCAATCTGCCACTCTCCTATCTCCCCATACTCTACCAGCTGTCTGTACCCTCTTATAGCCCCATGCTCTTACCAGCTGTCTGTACCTCTTATCGCCCCATGCTCTCCACTCTCGCGCGCTGCTAGTCCTTCGTAGATCCTGACAGACGCTGGCAGACGCTAGATCAATGCCTATACCTTAGCCCTCGAGAAGCACTGGTCCTCGTGGACTCTGGCAGACGCTAGCGGACGTTAGATCAATATTTATACTTTCCTAGTCGCTGACGCTGTCGGACGCTCAGAACGCTGATGGACGCTATTGGTCGCTGGTGGACGCTGTCGCAAATAAGCGCAGCGTTATGGTTAGAGACAAGCTGTACAATGACCTCCAACAACGGGCCTCGTAAAGGTCGCTAGTCGTCACTATCCTCAAGCCTCATCTCCGCGGGCTATCGAGTGAGCAAGGCTCATGACCACTCAACTACGATATCCTCTGATGGGAATTTCAGTGAACACGGGGTGCAGTGCCCCAATAACCCATGTGCCAAATTTCTTCCAAGCACCAAAACCTACAAAAAACGCAAACTGTTTCAGATCAACAACGCTGATCATCTTTGGCATCCTTTTTATTCTCCTACTACTTCTTGTCCTGGTCGGTGCCATTCTGTATCTATCAATGGCCTCACAAAAATCGAAGAAAAGAAAGATGTCAGGGAAGGGAAAGGGAAAACATGGCAAGGGAACTGAAGGGAAGAAGAAAGGATCAAAGCACAAGGCCAGCAAAAAATCGAAGTCGAAGTCGACAAATTAGAATAATCCTCTCAAACAAAAGAAAAAACACTCATTGCTTTTACATTATAAATGTTAGAGCATTTCTCAGAAATTCATCATACGTTTGAATTCTCTGAGCGGATCCA